AGTTTTCTCAGATAGCATCTGCTGGGGAGAGAAGGAGAAAAAGCTGAAGACAGGGTATGAAGCAAAGCACCGCTGGCTCCCCCCTCAAGGGTCAATGTGGATGGTAAAGGGTTGTTCCATCGTGCAGGTATTACTAATTAATCTCTCAGCCTGTTATTGTTGTTAGCCATTCAGTCATGTCTGACTCTTGGTGATTCTATGGGCCAGCTATCACCACGTTTTCCAATCTTGGACTGTTTCTTTGAGTCGTTCCATGCTTAGGCTGGTGTCACCTTTTATGATGTCTAACCACCATGTTCTTTAGCAACCCAGTTTCCTTTTGCTGCTAACCAGTCCAAGCATCATTGCTTTTTCTAGTGAGTTCTTCCACATGACATGGCTGAAATAATTCAGTCTCAGTTTTATGATTTTTCCTGCCAATGACATGTCTGGTTTTACGTACTCCAATACTTGCTTGTCACCTTTGCTGTCCAAGGAATGTGCAGGAGCCTTCACCAGCACCACAGCTCAAATGAGTCAATTTTCCTCCTATCTTGCTTCTTCATGGTCCAACTTTCACAGCCATTGGTTGCTATGGGGAACCCAATAGCACAGACTAATCTGCATTTGGTTGCTAGGCTGGTGTCCTTGCTCTTCCATATTCGATTCATGCACATCATTGCTGTGTGACCCAGCATGATTCAACGTTTTATTTCTGGAATGCTCTTTTGGTTGATCTGTGATCCTAAGACACATTTGATCTCTTCATTGTCAACTGTTACTTTGACATTTCTCTTCTTCTCGGTGGTCATGAACTTGGTCTTTTTGATGTTTAGGAAGAAGCCAAACTTCTCACTTTCCTCTTTGATTTTCTTGATCAGGCACTCCAGGTTTCCCCGCTTTTGAGGGCTTTGAGAAAAGCCCACCCCCAAACAGGGATGTCGGTGCATGATGTCCCTGACACAGTGATGTCACCACAGTGTCAACATCGGGGTGGTGATGCTCTAGTTTTTGATCAAACTCTGGTTTTGAAGGCAAAAACCCATAGAGTTTTGCCCAAAAACTAGAGCATTACCCCCGACATTGGCAGTGTGATGACATCACTTCTGGGTGGTCATCATGCCCCGCACACAAAAGTGCATGACAGAACATCCCAGAAAGGACTCAGAAGCCCCCTGACAGCTGCCAGGTAGCACCTGGCAACCATACGGATAGGCAAAGAGAGGGTGACTGGCCCAAGGTCACCCAGCAAGCTTCCATGGCATAGTGAGGATTTGAACCTGGGTCTCCCAGATCCTACTCTGACAGTCTAACCATTACACCAACCTGGCTGAAATTCAAAAGACAAGCCTTACAAGACTTGAGAAACGCAAACTGATCAGGAGACAGTAGGGCTGCCAGCCTCCAGGTGAGGCCTGGGGATCTCCCGCTTTTAGAACTGATCTCCAGCTGAAAAAGATCAGCTCCCCTGGAGAAAATGGCTGCTTTGAAAGGTGGACTCTATGGCACTGTACCATGCTGAGGCCCCTCCCCAAACCCCACCCTCTCCTGGATCCACCCCCCAAAGTCTCCAGGTATTTTCCAACCCAGACCTGGCAACCCTAGGAGACAGATACCAGTGCACAGATATTTTCCCACATTCCTCTCTGTTCCTACAGCCCTTTACAGCCTCCAGAAAGATAATTCATGGAGTTGCAGAATCTATACGGAGGAACAGCCATGCACAAGGTTGCCAACCACCAGGTGGGCCCTGGGAATCCCCTGGAATTATAACTGATCAGTTCGTCTGAATAAAATGGCTGATTCAGAAGGTGGACTCTATCTCATTATATCCCACTGAAGTTCCTTCCCACCACAAATACCAACCCTTCCCATGGTCCACCCCCCAATGTCCAGGAATTTCCCAACCTGTAGTTGGCAACTCTGGGGCCCATGCAAGGTCAGTGAGATGGAGAGGGGAGGGACAAGGAAGAAGAAGAGTTGAATTTATACCCCTGCCCTTCACTCAGAGTGCCTGACCATCTCCTTCCCTTCCTCTCCCCACAACGGACACCCTGTGAGGTAGGTGGGGCTGAGAGAGCTCTGAGAGAACTGCTCTTGAGAGAACAGCTCTGAGAGAACTGTGACTGCCCCAAGGTCACCCAGCTGGCTGCATGGGGAGGAGTGGGGAATCAAACCTGGTTCTCCAGATTAGAGCCTGCTGCTCTTAACCACTACACCAAACTGGAGTATCAAACAAGGGTATGAAATAAACTCCTTTTCCGCAAATGCAGCTGTGCTGAGGGAAGGAGAAATTTTGGGCCCACTCCTAACTCAGTCCAGCCCCCTCCCTCAACCCATATAGCTATTCCTCTAGAACTCTGGCAGTAATCTTTCCAGGGGGCTGCTGAAACAGTGCATTGCAGAAAAACTCCACACTCTGTGCATGGAGTAATAAGATACTGCCCACTACACCCACACAACACATGCACAGCTGTGGATGTCTTCCACGGGAAATAAATCTTTCACAACACAACCTTTATTGAAGGCATTTTCTTAAGAAGGGGAGGGGGGAATCAGCCTTCCATATTGCTATTATGTGTCTGTAATTGTAAAGTGCTGTTGACATTCACCATGTTTTACAACAAATCATAGCAGAATCATAAATGAAAACCTTCAGCGTTTAAGGTCTTGAAATGAACAGTCCTACTTCATTCCATCCCACTTCATAGTCACCTTCATTTTACCAAGTTTCAGCAGAAAGCAAGGTCCCTCTACTACAACGATTGCATCACTGTGACATGAGCACAGACTACTTCTATATTAGGCCAGAGAACTGTAATTCCAAGCGTAATCCCATTATTCCCTATAAAATTGCTCCTCCTTCTTGATCAGATTCCAGCAAATTTTAAAATCTAGCATAAAAACATAATCACACTGTACACACACAAAAACTAAACATAACTGAATAGAATTATACATACAAATGTATAAAAGCATGGTTTTGTAAACTTCTTGGTACTGTTAAAATCGTTATTTAGCCTCGGAAAGGTCCCACCCGTGCTCACCATCTTTAAGGACTCTTTCTCAATAAGTATCGATGGATAGCAAGGCATCCCTAAAATAGGTGCCACATGAACCACACCTACTCAGGTTTCAGGGGACCTTGCTTGTAAAGTGAGAGTGCTGATTAAGATCACCCACTGTTCCCTTCCTTATTACTCTTACATCCTTCCTACCACTTAATAAAAGATTCCCCTCACAATCCATTCTCCCTACCTCCATCCATAAAGCAGCTCAAAGCGATAGCAGCATTATAATCCTTCACTTACCTAAATAGAAAGCTGAACCCCTCACATTTCCTTCAAGCTACTTACGGAGAACTTTGCATTGAACATGCAATTTGGCACACCTCCCTGGCAGGTGCAGGCCCAGTCCTGATTGTGAGCATGGTGTATGAGTAGAAGCGACTTCTACTGCCCTCCCCCCATCACCATTGTCATGTCCTAAAAGGGCTCTGGGGAGATGCTAATTGCTCCATTGCATAAGCTCCATTATTTGAACAATGGAGAAATCTCTGGGACAGTTGCAGAATCCAAAAACAACACTTGAGGAGGAAGGCTGAAGCACCTTCTGAATGCTACTATAGGGCACATGGAGAATCAGGCCCACCCGGTACGAAACTTCTATCACTTGTCTGATTCCAAGATCTTGTGTCTGCCATTATGATTTTAAGATGTGAATCAGTCCTTAGACAGAAGGCAGGGACCCTAAGAAAGCACACTTTGAAGAAAATGGAGGGCGTGTATATAATGTTGTTTCCATAATGCAGGGGAAACCACTTTGATAGTAACTGATAAACTATAAGAAAACAGACTTATCAAACCATCTGCTATGAGTCATTCCTAAAAAGTACTGGCCCAAATTACCAAGACATACTAGAGGCCCCGGTCACTCGAGGGAAATTGACGCGGCCAAAGTGCGGCTTTTTAGAGCCGCACCAAAAGAGACACGCGGCGGGATCAGACAGATCCCCTGAGCCGCTGCGCAGTTGCTCCCCGGCACGATCAGATGCCAGGAAGCCATGGAAGGGAGAGCGAGGCAGCTGGCTGCGCATGTGTGCGCATGCGCGGTTCGGCCGGGAGCCTCGAATGCTCCTGAAGACGGGCGCACAGCGATCCCACGGCCGTGCTTGCTGCGGCGTTTCAGGTTGGTCCTACTATTTCCTAGGGGTTTTTTTAATGCGCGTTTTCAGCCTGAAGGGACAGATCGGGGACGGGTGTGCGCCGCTTCCCAGATGTTGCGGTGTGATCGCGCCCATTTGCTGCGCCCCCAATCCATCCCTCTTGCGGGCCAAAACCTCCTGTGTGACCGGGGCCTAATGTAAGCCATTTGTAGTACACCAGGAGACCAGAAAAAGAACAGCACCAAAATCTCGGCTGCATGAATCGCCAATATTTATCAGTCTGCCATCAAGTTTCTAAGACTCTGCCCTCTCCTGCAAAGGCAAACCAGAAAAGCCTAAGCTACTATGTTTTCAGAATTCTACACAAATGCTCTGTCTGGCTTTAACCATCAAGTAGCAATTGACAGACAGAATCAGCTGTTTGCCCTCTTGCTAACAAATACTGCTCCGAAAACATGAAGCCATTGCTCCTGGATGGCGGGCTGTCATTTGGAAAAAGGATCTACCAAGAACAGATTGGTAGATACTACAGAAGCCTAAGCGGACGTCATTTCCATAGATCGAAAGACTCAGGTTACTCCGACAATCATGATAACAAAGCAGTTTACATTGGCCTGCTTCCTCAATTCAAGTTTTCACGCCTTTGCTTTCGGTTTTGTTGAAAGAAAAAGCAGCTGTTTTTCTTCACAGAATTCCTAGCTTCCAGCTAAGTGTTAGCAACTCTGGTTTGCATTTTATCAGTAGCAGTTCATTTGAAGTTCCAGGAGCACAGAAGGAAACAGGTGCTAAGCCTGAGCCCAGGCAGCGTGCTTGGAAGTGGAGGAGAGTGTAGTTAGCTGATTGAAGAAGAAAACAATCAGCTAGGGACCCACCTAAACTTATAGCCCCCAGTGGCAGTCCTGAAAGTGAATGCATTGCCTTGAGGGAAGGCCAGTGTCCGGATGTTACAGTGCTCTTTGATCGATGTCCTGAAGGAGACCCCTTCTTCCAGGTCACTACCGCTCATATCCAGAGAGCTGCAGCTGTTGTGTGTCTGTAACCCATGGAAAGCGCCGTACATGTGGACTGTACCACTCTCTCCACGGGGACGCTTGGGGCCTCTGTTTTCATCAATGGACTGCAAGGCTAGGTTGCATTTGTCGGATATTTCCCGCAAGATTTCATTCACTTCTGTGTCGTCCTCTTGCTCATTGTTGGTCATCTGCAGAAGGCTTCTCTTGTTTGGGCCATTGGTGACAGAAACGTCTGTGCTGTCTTTACACTGAGGTATAATCAGTTTCTAGAGAAGAAACACACACGAGGCCTGTAAGTTTTGAAGTGCATTTCAGCTACTCTCCTGCTGGCGGTGTGCATGTGTAGAAAAATTGAAGTGGGACTGAAATACACATGCAAAGAAAGGCTGGGATACAATGCAACTGTAACTCAATCTTCCTACATAGACCTGAAATCCATTCAGAAACCCAGTACCATACAAGCATAAGAACATAAGAGATGCCATGTTGGATCAGGCCAATGGCCCATCCATCCACTCTGCATCACACAGTGGCAAAAACCCAGGTGCCATCAGGAGGTCCACCAGCAGGGCTAGAACTCCAGAAGCCCTCCCAATGTGCCTCCCACCAAGGCACCAAGAATATAGGGCATCACTGTCCCAGCACATTTTAAAACCACCAGCTTCTCATTTTTTTTAAATTCATTTACATCCTACCTTTCTACACAACAGGGACTCAAAGAGGCTTATATCTTTCTCTTCTCCTCCATTTTATCCTCACAACCACCCTGTGAGGTAGGTTAAGCTGAGCATGTGTGACTAGCCCGAACAAACTTCCGTGGCAGAGTTCCAGTCATACCTGGGTTTCCCAGATCTTAGTCTAACACTCTAACCACAACACTGGCTGACATGTTCATTTAGAATTGCCTACCCTTTCTACTTCTCCACACATGCTCATCAACATAGATTCAGGTGGATAGCCGTGTTGGTCTGAAGCAGCAGAACAAAGTTTGAGTTCAGTGGAACCTTTAAGACCAATAAAGTTTTGTTCAAGGTGTAAGCTTTTGTGTGCACGCACACTTCTTCATCTGCTTTGTTCTGCTCATCAACAGCTGACGAAAGACTGGAACAGCTGGTTTGCGATCCCATCTTCCTGTACTTCACCATGCATGTGTAATTTTGGTTTAAAACATTCCCCAGGCATCTGATACACAGGCCAGCCTGGAGATCCAGTGATTAATAAAGGACATGTTTCTGAACCAATATTACCCTCTACAGAACAAGCTGTTAAAATCTCTCATGGCTCCAACGCATTGGGTCTGCCACGGTTAGCCATCTGCTTCTAGAGGACCATCTGACTGAGCGCAGGCAATTATGTCATGGCCAGGCTCATTGGGACCCATCCCTATATAGAGAATGCCTCTCTGAGAAAATACAGAGTGGGTTTTGATCACTACCCTGCATCATAAGCAAACCTTCAAGATTTAAATGTCTGGAAGCTGCACCTTCTAATACTTAAGCAAAAATGAAGAGGCTAATCACTGAGAAATACAGATTGACACTTACATCCAGCACAGAAGCTAGCTGCTTTGCTTGGCTGGCCAGTTCCTTGAGCTGGATATTTCTTTCCTTTAGAGACGCAATCTCTTCTTGCTTTTGAGTAAGTGTCACTTGGAGCTGTTGGGAGACAAATGTTGAGTTTGCAGTTTCACAGAGTCTTAAGGCTTCGCCTCTACCATCTGTGATTCATCAGTTTGTATAGAGCTAATATACAGCCAGGTACTCGACAGATGCTCAGCAATCCACTGTTTACAGTTGCAGACAAACATCAAGGACAAGAGACTTATCAGGCTCCTCATAAGACATCATACACAGCGGACTACAATCAGCTGTGATGGTCAGAAATTATGTCAATGAACATTTGAATGGTGCACGTTTGTCTAGGAACTCATCTGCCCTCATATCAAAGGTACTCATATAACCTTGAAAAAGCATGCTTGGGTTCATGGGACACCAGAGGTCCCACTAGGGGATCATGGGATACTGGGGGAACATGGGACACCGGCCAGCTATTTTAGCAAATCCTACAAAACAGTGCAATCCTAAACAGCTGTACCCTTCCAAATTAATTCAAGTGAAAGAAGTCTAGGATTATATTGTCAGAGCTCTAGAGAAGAGCTGCCAAAGTGAAAGGAACCACAATTTCTTTTGCCCAGGGGCGGGCACATGGAACAAGCCCCACCCCCTGCTCCCAGCAGCCCTCAGTCAGAGCAAGAAGCAGCCAGGTAAGTTGCAGAGCTCCCCCCGTCCCCCTGGTCCAAAACAGTCCAGTGGCACCTTTAAGACCGAGTTTTATTCAGGTACAAGCTCTCCCTCCTCTGCGAGGACAGATCTGCACGTTCCCCCCCCCCCCAGCAACAGCTAGCAATCCAAAACAGTCCAGTGGAGCCTGAGCGGTGGGTGTTGCCTTCTGACACACTTCCAATGATGTCAGGGGGTGTTGCATATGCAAATAAGATATGCTAATGAGTTATGCTAATGAGCTCCTGCACCTCTTTTTCTACGAAATGACCCCTGGATGGATGGATGAATAGGGTTGCCAGCTCTGGATTGGGAAATACCTGCCGATTTTGGGGGCGGAGCCTGAGGAGGGCGGGGTTTGGGGAGGGGAGGGACTTCAATAAGATACAATGCCATAGAGTCCACCCTCCAAAGTGGCTATTTTCTCCAGAGGAACTGATCTTGGCCATCTGGAGATCCACTGTAATAACAAGAGTTCTCCAGGTGCCACCTGGAGGTTGGCAACCCTAATGGATAAGAAACAGTTTGTTCCTAAACATGAAAAACCTACCCACATCCCGTGTTCCCTCTAAGCTGAGTTAGTGTGAGCTAGCTCACAGATTTTTAGCCTCCGGCTCACACATTTTTGTCTCCGCTCAGGAAGGATGGCTCCAGAGCAAACTAATTTATGCAGAGGCCAAATCGCTCGCTCACAACTTTAATGCCAGTGGCTCACAGAGTAGAATTTTTGCTCACAGGGCTCCACAGCTTAGGGGGAGCATTGCTCACATCAATGAAAAAAAGTAACCTGCACGCCACTTCACTAGGGCTTGCTATAATTAAGCAACAGCCCAAATAGCCCAGCTCAGCCCCCACTTGTCAGAGCTCGGGAGCTAAGTAGGGTTGACCATCATCAGTACTTGGATGGGAGACCACACCCAGGAAGACCAGGGTTTCTATGCAGAGGAAGGCAATGGCAAACCAGAGACAGGGTTTGCCGTGAGCTGGCTGTGACTTGATGGGTCTTTCTTCTTCTTGCTGTAATTAAAACCAGCCAGTCCTTCCAAATGAGTGGCTTAAGTTTAAGCCTCATCTCAGTGAAAGGGCAATAGAATTTCAGCACCTTAGCCTGTCATTAATAAGACCACTTACAACTCACTGTTATCCACAGCTGTTCAGAGGCTGATCTTCTTAATTTTTAATTCGTGTGTGTGTTTATGTGCTTGTGAGCCTGGAAGTCACGGTGACTTCTGGCAACCCCTAGTGGGGCTAGGATGTTTTTCAGAGAGGTGGCTTGATATTGCCTGCCTCTCGGCCCTGGTATTCCTTGGAGGTCTCCCATCCAAGTACTTGCCAGGGTCGGCCTTGCTCAGCTTCTGAGATTTGATGAGATCAGGCTTGCCTGGGCTATCCAGGTCAGGGCTGCAGCAGATTTTCTTTAGCTCAATGGATCTTTTTGCTAAGAAAGACTGGAGTCTTACTATGAGGCTAATCCAACATAGTTTTACAATTACAAAGAGCTCAGCCCAGGACCTAACTTTTTAAATTTAAAATTATTTACATAATTCAAACAATTGTTAATATTAATTGGAAATGAGTATCACTGAAACCAATGCCACTTGCTCCTGGTAAATGTGCAGTCTCTCACTCCCTTTAAATCCCGGTCTCTTATAATATTTATTTATTGCCTGCCTTTCTCACTGAGACTCAAGGAGGATAACACAGTGTAAATCAATGCAACCAATATAGAATACATAAAGTTTTAAACATAAGTGCAACAGTGCAGAAAATGGTATTACATAAATATAAAAACAAAGCAGCAATAGTATAATATATACATCAAACAGAAAAATACTTACTGTACACAGAGGCATAGTACACAGTCCTGCTTACTTTTGCAGTGTTTTCCTGAACCATTTTGCTATATTATATGTGCTATATTATAACGTTATTACCTTTATAAAAGTGTCCTCCTGAATAATTCTGTTTTATACAGTTTGAGGAAAGACAGAAGTGTGGGAGGCTTCCTAACTTCCTCATGCAGGCTGTTCTGCAAGGCGGGAGCCACAACAGAGAATGCACAGGTAGAGAGTTGTTGATGTGACTTCTAGCTTATGTGACTTGTCGCTAAATAGCTTGTGATGGATTGCACGTGAAAAGCAGGTTTTAAAAATGCTGCCAGTGCAGAGAGCCTGGGAAGTAAGGAGTTAATCTTCCCTGAAGTGGACCGCTTGTTTGATTGGCTGCTCTACACACTCTCTGATTGGCCAGCATCACCTGAGAGAAAGTATATGATCAGCTGTGCACTGAAGGGAAAAGGCTTTTCCTCTGGAGTCAGCAAGCCAGTGAGTTGGCTTCTGGTAAAGAGATACTGGAGTCAGTGGTTCTGACAGAACTGGTCAGACAGGCTCTTCTTCTGAGAGAAGAGAAGAGACTTCTTTGCCCTAATTGAATAAGAACTATTCTGAAGGAGAATTGTGATTCTAAGTCCAGAAAGCTAAAAACTGCTTTACACAAAGACATCAGTACTGGGAAAGACATTTGGCAAGGGTGACTGGGTTGTTAGGCTGTAACTCTCAATCAAGCCAAACAGAAAAGGGTTATTGCTTCTTAGGGAAAAGGAGAATAATTCCTGCCAGTTGAAAAGGGGTTGAGCTCTGAGGAGAACCCTGGTCTATGATGAAGGGAATATGCTGTAGACACCTCAGGAGTTAGTGGAGAACTGTGTTTTCAAAAGGGAGAAAGTTAGATACTCTAAGAAACAGCAATCTCCAGGAAACTCTGTGAAGTAATATTGAAACTGCTGAAATATACTAAGCAAAATACTTGGTACTGAAACTATTTAGAAATCTCTGAAAATAAGCTACAACACACTCTTGTTTGTCTTAAGAATTTGTACAAAATATAACTTTTACCTCAGTATTTCTAAGCCTTGATTTTTATATATATTCCCTGCCTATTAAATAAAAATATTTTATTCTGTTGTAAAAATTATACAGTCTCAAGTGCCATTTCAAAGGGTTTAAGACAAGAGAGTTTCTTTTCCCCCTCAAGTTCCTGTGCTGGGTCCAAAGCCAAAATATATCTCTGTCAAAGGGTGGGAGAATCAAGTCTTTTAAGACAAAGAAGAAATACATGCTACTGGGGGGAAGGCTCAGTAACAGAAAGGAACTAAGTTTTGGTGGGGGGGAAATCTGCCTGGGAGTTGGGAAGTGACAGGCTATTCAGAATGATTTGGGAGGACATGCAAACACAGTCTTTTTTGTACCTGATTGTTTTCCACAAGGGCATCCCCCAGGGCTTTCTGATTATGATCAGCCAGGTCTTTCCAATACTGCTCAGCAGAAGAGATGTTGTCAACATTCATCTGAGACAGAGGATCCTCTTGGGCAGGCAGAGGAATGCCAGGGCTGAAGGGTCTTCCATCATCGACAGGGAAAACAGCAGAGTCCAGCAGAGGTGGCATTAGAGAGGATGGATCTAGGTGACAGTGACTAATAAGAATTAAATTGGACACCTGATAGACTGGGCCGCTCTTATACGCAAGGATGGGGAGAGGTAGCCACACAATGAACTGCAATAGGTCTAGATTTTATACATAGCTTTATGCTACAGCATGATTTTTCTAAAGAGGCTTTGTTTGTAAAAGTTGCATTAAGGCAGTAAGAGCAGCTTTCTCCAGGCACAGAGGGAGAAGCTGCACCTGCTGAATTCCTGATTGGTGTGCAGCCAAGACAGGCACCAAATGTCTGTATGCACACCTTTGCTTAAGTCCAACTGATTTCGACACACCTTTTGTCAAATAAACTGTACATCAGTTCGCAGTTACATGTTGATCCAGGTGTTTAGAAGCAGCTTCCTTGGAAGGCAATAGGGTTGATGCCCACCAATTGACTTTTAATATGAAAGCATTTAAAAGTCTGATAAGGATGCAAAGATGCAGTCAGATGAATAACCAAACATCATGCATGAACACCGAAATTACCAAATCAGCCAATTACAAATATTTTGGTTTGTTAAAATGAACAGCAAAATCAATATAAACAGTTCAAAACTCCACAGAGGGCATGTGTCATCTTAGAAGAACCCCCCTTTTTCTCAAAGGTGGGAGGAACACCTCCCCTCAGACTGTCCTGCTCCACCACATGCAGAACTTAGCTAAAAGGATTTTTTTCACTTTCAGAATGCACAGTAGTTTCGGCAAATACAAATATATGCAGATGCAATCACTTAAAAAGTTAACCACCTCGATCCCAAAAGAATAATCGACCAGTATTCTCTTATCAGGCAACAGCCTCAGACATCTTGTCGACACAGACTTCTAACTAAACTCAATGGGATCTACTTTCAACAGCGCTTCCATTATTCGGCTAGGCTACTTAACGTTCGAAGTCCGACCTGAACTTTTAACAAAACGCGATCTGACCTCCGAAGATACTTGCCTGATATGAAGCTATCGACGACATCCCGAAATTCCTGGAAATCAAAGTCAGGCTCCACTTGGAAGCAGGGGCTCTGAAAGACACCGAAACGAGATCACTAGTTTAAAAATCCCCTTCCCCGATCCCGTTATTGTACCTATTTTGACTAAACTTTTTTTCCATGTTAACTTTATGCAGGTCCACACACCTGGAAATCCACCGGCCAAGCTGGATAATGGCGAGGGCAAGCCTGCACTGCCATTACGGATGTAAAGCAGTAAGGGGCGATAATAAACCAGCCACCGCCTGAAACGTTCAACGTGGGCGCACTCCGGAGAAAAAAGATTGCTGGAACCACCGCCGCCTCCTTTTAGCGCTTCCCTTACGTGATCTGATTGGCTTAGGCGGTTTTCCCTAAGCGATCTGACTGGCTTAGTGGAGGAACCAATTATATTTCTCTGACATCGGCATTTTTTTTTATTCCTTCGATAAGGCGTTTAACTCCAGTCACTCGTCTCCAGGGTTGCGCGCTGCGCCGGAGAAAGTCGCGAGGGAAAAGTGTGAATTTAAGCCGACACGCTTGTGGTTATAAACACGGTAACCGCCGCCGGGGAAGAAGACTCGCAGATGGTGTCCTAAAGCTGAACTGATGTGGAAGTGTCTCAACTACAAGCGCTTTTCAGCCCCTCTAATGGTTATGATAGTGACGTTGCTGGAAAGATAACTAGCCATTTCTGCCCACATGACCTCTAAGGGAGGCGTGCAAAGCGAGCCTAAGCATCTTTACTCGGAAACAAGTGTGCCCCCAGTGCAAGGAGCGTTACTCCCTAGTTAGGCTTGGGTCTGATGTACGCTTGCCTGGGAGTAAGCTCTGTTGAACCCTGGGACTGGGTACACGTTGATGCGACTGGGCCCCTGTGTTGAAAAGTCAACTTCGTCTTCGAATTATCCCAAGAAACCCGCGGAAAAATCAATTTACCGAAACGTTCCCTACATGAAGCTGCCACAGAATCCACGTCGGTCAAGAGGGAAGGACAGGAGCCTCTGTTTTGACTTTGTCCGCACAATACCTCTGTGAGATAGGCTAGGCTGAGATCTGGTGCAGTCAGCTGAGAATGTGCACCTGAGACTCCCATACGGTATGCCCCTCTTCCAGCACTCTGGGGTACCATGTGTCTCTAGGGGTATATTTGGGACCCCATGACAACCAGAGTTGTTATCGCTCGCTTTATAGGGAGGTGGATTGCGCCCCAGGAGAAGCTGCTAAATCACGTATTTGGCCAGGCCTTCCTCCAAGTAACTTAGTTAAATGCTTTTAGCCACACAACAGGATGGCCAACAGGCCTGGAGAAAAAATGTCCTGTCCCTTTAATAGAGGCCTCCGTTCCACTTCCCGATGGGGATTTCCAGGACCAGGCTCACCTTCCCCCGTACTGTAGCCCCAGTAGCCGTAGCTCCCCGTGGAAAGGACCCTGACCCCACCATACCGCCCCTCCCGTCCACACGGTCAGCGAAGGCGGCGCGATTCTCTTGTCAAAGGACCCGCTCTTTGCCCCTTCCCAGTCTCATCCGTACAGCCTCATAAACCATGGGGGCCTGGGATAAAAAGACTCATCAGATCTCCGTTCCTACTCTTGTCTGACGAAGGGAGAGTTGACTCTCGAGAGCTGATAGCCTGAAAATCTAGTTGGTCTGTAAGGTGCTGCTGGATTCGAATCTAGCAGTGAAAGAAGATAATCTCTTTTTCATTTCTGAACCATCATAGAGGTTAAGAGTGTGAGGCCAGGGTCTGGGAGAGTCACGTTCAAATTTCCACTCTACCACGGAAGCTTACTGGGTGACCTTGAATAATGCCCTTTCGGTGCACTTCAGCAACACTTTGCAATTGGATTTTGCCACTGGACACAGTAAACACCAGCTGCAAAGCGCACTGGAATCAGATTGAAAGTGCCGTTGTTTAGCGTGTGTGCCTGCCTCTCTCTCCGTCTACCCCACCTCACAGGGGTGGTTTTTGTGAGGATAAAATGGAAGGAAACGATATTGCAAGCCATTGGGGGGGGAAATAGCTTTAAAAATAAACAATATATAATTATATAATGGACTTGCAGCCCGGGCATTGTTCCCCTTTCCCCGGCCCCTGCTTGACAGGGTTGCCAACTCTGGGTTCAGAAATACCTGGAGATTTGAGGATGGCGCCTGGGAGGCTGGGGTTTAGGGTATAATGCCATGCAGTCCACCTTTCAAGGCAGCCATTTCCTCCAGGAGAAGTGGAATAAGTGTTTTGAGAAGAAGAAGAGATTGGATTTATACCCCGCCCTTCACTACCCAAAGGGGTCTCAGAGTAGCTTACAAACTCCCTCCCCACAACAGACACCCTGTGAGGTAGGTGGGGCTGAGAGGACAGAAACTGCTCTTTTCAAGAACAGCTCTTATCAGAGCTACGGCCTACCCAAGGTCATCCAGCCAGGTGCAAGCGGAGGAGTGGGGAATCAAACCCCGTTCTCCCAGATTAGAGTCCGGGCACTTAACCACTACACCAAAATTAACACTTAAGTGGTTTATGTACTTTGGAGGTCAGTTGTAACTCCAGGAGATCTCCAGTCCCCACCCGGAGGTTGGCAAGCCTGCTGAGTGAGCCCCACCTCCGAGCGAGCACACCAATAGATGCGGGAGCCCTGTCCAGGTGCTTTGGGGAGGCTTAGCCCGTGTGGACAGGGGAGGGGTTGGTGCAGCGACCCAGCCTGGGAAAAAAGGTCCGGAAGAGACTTGGGGGGGGGGGGAGGAAACGCGGCTGTCAGTCACCTGCTGGGCCGGGACGGGGACTCTCGCAGGCTCCTGCGGAAAGGCCGAGCTGCAGTCACCTAAATCCTGCCAGTCGATGGTCGCAAAGGCTGGAGGGGAAAGAAAACCGGTCGTTAGACCCGCGCCTCAAAGCGCCTGGAAGCTGCCGCCCAGCCGGACTTGCGAACTACGGATAAGCCACCATGACCAATGCGTAGGATTGCACTGCGCGAGGAAATGAAATGCTGCGTCTATGTGCGAGCTGAGCAGACAGAGAAGAGAAACAACATGCACCGGGGGGGGGGACTGTCCTACAGGCTGTAAACTATTTTACTCCGGAGTAATTACTCCGGGGCAACTATCCTCCTCCAGTTCGCCGACCGCTTACTCAGTCCATCGCCTGTCCTTCACCAAAACATCGGTCTAGAGGGGGGGGGGCGCGTTAAGGGCAGTGTCCCCTCTAAACTGAGTTAGTGTGACCTAGCCTCCGGCTCACACATTTTTGTCTTGGCTCAGGGAGGATGGTTCTAGCAAAGTAGTTTATGCAGCAGCCAAATCGCTCGCTCACAACTTTAATGCCAGTCGCTCACAAAGTAGAATTTTTGCTCACGAGACTCCACAGCTTAGAGGGAGCCCTGGTTAAGGGCCCGCGGATTCATTTTTGTATACCCCCCCCACCACCACGTTCATGCTACCGAGTCCCAAGCTGAACTCACCGACAGCTACCGGGTCTGGAGCCGGGTCGTGATAAATGGCTACTGGGTCGCCTCTCGGGTGGATCTTCCGGGGCACCTGCCGGCGAACGAGACCAAGCACCATGGTTATGCGTAGGGTAACAGTGCGATGCGATCCTAAGCAGGTCTACTCAGCATCCTAAAGTCTACTCACTGGGGCTTTTACTCCCGGGGAAGAGCAATGTCAGGCTGCTCGCCTATGCACACTTCCTCGGGAATAAGGCCCGTTGAATTCGGGGGGACTCACTCACTTCAAAACAAGCCTGCCTGGGTTCGGGATGCTGCGCCGGGTGAAGAGGCGCAGCCACCAAGAACAACGACGACTGTCATTTGACTCCGGGGAAGCCTGCCGCGGCGGCCAGAGTTTACCGGGGCTCAGATCTGGCTGAGAAAACCCCCCCACACACACACTCTTTGCCCGAGGGACTCTGTCCCCGCCTTCCAGACGAGCCCATTAAGCTGCCTTCAACTGAGCCAGGCCATCAAAGTCCGCGTTGCCTGCTCTGGCTGGCAGCGGCTCTCCAGGGTCTCTTTCCCGGCACCTGCGACCTGGTCCTTTTAAACTGGAGAGGAGGCCGAGGCTGAACTTGGGACCTTCCGCAGACGCTCGACCCCTGGAGCCCCTGGTGAGAGCTGGGGGTGGCTAGCCACCGAGGAGGAACTTTGCACGCGCCCAGAGGCGCTCTTCTCGTGGCCGAGTGCTGACCCCTGCTGTTCCAGAGAGACCTCCCCTCCCTCCCGGTTTCCTAGCCGGCTCCCTGCAAACCCACCTTCTTCTCTACTTTGCCCGCCGGCTTCTTTGCCAGCCGCTCGGCCAGGTCCTGCACCCTATTGGGGCAGAGGCTGTCAAAGGCTCGCCTGCCGCCGCCGCCGCCGCGGCTTTGCATGGCGCTTTCCCGCCGGGCCGGCTGCCGAGGATGCGGCGCGGCGGTCGGGTCGGCTCGGTCGGCCGTCTGGTCCGGCCACGCTGCCTGGGGTGGGGGGGACCCTCCTCCGGCCCCTCTGGGGAGGAGGGAGAGCCTAGGGGAGGCGAGGGGAGGCGGCCCGGCGGCCGATTGAGCGCCAGAGGTGGCGCCTTCGCCTTGGCACGCACCAGCCTGGCAACGAGGGAGGCCGCCCGGCCCCGCCTCTCCCCTCTTCTCCCCCGGGACTGCGCCCAGCCGCAGCTGCTCCCGCTGCTGCCCCGAGCCCCAGCGCCAAATTGCGCCCTTTCGCCGGGCATTGGCGCCGCCGCCAACCGACGGGGAGAGCCGCCTTGGCTTGCATTGTCCTGAGTCCAGCGGGAGCGGATCGAGGCTTGATTGGTTCAGAGCCTGTCTCTGAGCAGGATTCGGTCCTGGCGCCTGTCTGCAGGGTATTGCCTCTGAACCTGTGCAGAGATGTACTGCCTCTGAACACGTGCAGAACGCCTTTCCTTCACACTGTGGCGCTAACAGCCCAATTCTATGCCTGTTCACTTGGAAACCCCCCCCCCCCCAGTAAGTGCCTTGATTTGAACACTTGGAAACATTTGGGGGCATGTCGTGGCCTGGGGGGCTGCTATGTTGGGGGAGAGGGAAATGCTTTAGCAAATGCAAGAGAGGCGGACCTGATCTGTAAGCCCATCACAGCAAAGTGGGCCATTTAAGAAAGACAAGAGAGCTTCTCTTTCCTGATTCATGAGTGTGAATATCAGAAGGGATCAGCTACCCTGGCAAGTACTTGGATGGGAGACCTCCAAGGAATACCAGGGGGGCCCCACACCTCTCTGAAACCTCCAAACCCCACTGGGGGCCTCCAGAGGTCAACCATGACTTCTAGGCACCCGGCGTGTGCGCGTGGACACACACACAATATACTCACAAAAAAGAAGGGATCAGGGAGAGGAAGAGGTGGATATCCCAAGTTTGCGCAGGGCCCAGAGAAACAACACATGGCCCTAATCTAGGGACTGGTTCGGATACACACCTCTAGTGTAGCATCAAACTAAACCAGGACGAATCCCTGTTTATCCATGAGATTTGTTGAGTGACTTTGGTCAGTTACTCTTTCTCTGCCTGTCCTACCTCAGCAGGCTGCTGTGAAGGTGAAAGGAGAAGTGGAGAACTACCTGGATTTGTATATCACTTGCTTTTTCTCCACTTGAAAGTTCTATGGCACAGTCCTCACACAAAGCCATAGAATCCTGAGTGGACCATACCACTGCACATCCGAGGTTCTATTTTTAATGTTTCCTTCATAAAAAGCTCCCCAGAAGCAAAACATTCTACCATAGCCTGCATCTTTCTGTGCTAATTTTCTAGTGCCACAATCTGTTCTCTCCTTGTCCCCACCTTATTTTTGCTACTTGTGTAGACCAGGCCTGTGTAAGGTGCTGGTCTGTAATGGCTCCTTCAAATGCCAAGTCACCGTTTAATGCTAGGTGATTTTGGGCCAATCACACACTCTCAGCCTAACCTACCTCACAGGGTTGTTGTGACAATAAAATGGAAAGGAGGAGAACAATAGGAGCCCCTTTGGGATCCCCATTGGGGAGAAATAAATAAATTTCCAGGGTGACCTGAATCCTCCCCTCCCTCCCTCCAACTTTCATTTTTAAAAATTAAGCACAGAAAGGGTCAGCGATTCAACTGAACTGTGTGAGGACTTAGCCTAAGCACATTTAAAAGAATATCAGCATGTCTCTGAGCTTACTTAGAGCACCTTTCCCTTGCCACTGAAAAACCAAAGCCAGCCCCCAGGGCATCCTGACAAACTGAGACAAGACTGGAGGTAGCATTTAAAATGTATTTTAAAATCTGATTTAGTATGAGTAGTCTCTGATGGAATGCTGAATAAGAGGCGTCAAACCCATTTGTTACGAGGGCCGGATCTGACATAAATGTCACTTTGTTGGGCCAGACCATGTATACCATAAAATGTAATGCCGGGTACCGGAGCTATAAACTGTATAAAGGACAGCATTTCATAAGCTCCGAGTTGATGTATCCTCACTGCGAGGCCCCATGAACTGAGAGGAAAACCCACATGGGTGGACTGTAGAGCCAGCAGTGCAGCACTGGTCAGAGGCTCCCCCACTGCTTGACTGCTGCAGACGAGATTGTTCCACCGTGCTGAAGCCACAGTTGGAGTAGCTCCACCCACTCCCGTCCCCATGCAGTCTCCTGTTCCCTCCCTTACATCAGTTGCTTGCAGGCCGCATAAGAGCTCTGGATGGGTCAGTTCTGCCCCCCCCCCCCCGGGCCTTATGTCTGACACCCCTGCTTTAAAGAGTTTACTGATGGAGCCAGCTGGTGGCTCATGGCGAAAGCCACCTGTGTCCTTACCCAGTTCTTTAAAGTATGAGCATGTAGTAATAGCCAGGAGTTCCTAAGAGTGTCTGGCAACCTTAAGTTCTAGCCATGTTAGCATTATGCACCACTAGGTGGCAAGCTAGACTTGTTTTTTGGGCTGAGAGAGCTCTGATACAGCTGTGACTGACCCAATGTCACCCAGTGGAGGAGTGCAGAATCGAAGCCAGTTCTCTAGATTAGAGTCCGCCACTCTTAACCATTACACCACACTGGCTGTGAGGATGGGCAGTGGAAAGGCTTGTGAGCAGGGGAGGGAGGGATGCACAGGCAGGTAGTGGGACACATGGGTAAGTGGATGGAAAGGGGGCTCCTTGGAACCCTCTGCCCAGGGCCCTGCAAATTCTGGAACCAGCCTTGTTCCAACTTTTGGTGTATTGTGATGAGAAACACAACAAACAAGTCCTTCACTGTGTGCCAGTATATACTGAAATGGGTATCACAAAAGTGGCCATCCAGGTCAAACAGAACCTTGTTAAACTTTTTAGCCTTTTAAACTTTTTAAAAGTTGTTTGCAGTTTTGTAAATGAAAGCCATAGGATTCTCTGTGATGTGAAATTTACATAGATGTGTACAAGACCTGTGAATTTTACCATAGATCCAATTCTCTCTCTTTCACTTGTGCTTTGGAGGCAATAAATGGTGAGTCAATGACAATATCCTCCTGTGGGACTTTGGCAGCATCCCTCCCCCCTTGCAAACACTCATTTCCTATAATCTCCAATAGGAGTTGGAGAGGAGTAAAGAACTTTCTGTTGTCCAATTACTTCATTTTCTTCCCCAAATAACTAATCCTTTGTAGCACATCAGGTATTTCCCTTTTTGTTTTATTGTTATCCTGCATTTGTAAGGAACAGGGGCATAGCCAGAAAATTTTGGTTGGTGGGGTACTGGGAAATCTGATGGGGTGGGGGAGTGGGGGAGAGAGATGGCCAGAGGAAACAGCAGATGGGAGAAGCATGGGAGGAGGAGCCACAACCCAGCACCTCTGCTTCAATTTTATTTTTTACAAAATCTTTTGCATTTTTAAAAACCTATTTATTTTTTGGCTCAGAAAAAACAAAATGAGACCGAAGTTTCCCTGACAGTGCTCGGGGTCAAAAATTATCTTTGGGCAATAGCTCACCCCATGAGGAGGAATTGCCCCCAAATTGCCCCCCCCCCCCCTCCCCCGGTCACAGGCCTGGTAAGGAATATACCACCATCCATTTCTATGGGAACTTTTTGTGCTCCTGTTTCAACTTAACAGGTGCCTTTATTAATTTTTAACACGTTAGGTATTTCAATCACCATTAAACATACCACAACTTCACATAGTCACTAGTATTTTGATATGATCAGTTAATTGTAAACAAACCTGGTATCTGAAGTGTGCATGCACACAAATAAAACTTTGTTGCTCTTAAAGGTGCCACTGGACTCAATCTTTGCTCTGCTGCTTCAGACATGGCTTGGCTACTCACCTGTCACTCTTAAAATATACTATAACTGCGGTGCTGCTCGTTAGGGTGTGGGGGTGCAGGCGATACAAAGATGACACAAGACAAACAGCTTCTGCAGAAAGCTGACTGAATGAAGGCAGGAACGAACGAACTCCCTCCTCTCACGCAGCAGCCGTATTTATTGAAAAATCCCCCCCTCTTTTCCCTCCCACCTTTTTATACATTACAGCATCGTAGTCATGAGACATGAACTAAGGAATGTGTGTGTGTTCATGCAGCTGTCTGTTATCTGCCTTTCTCAAGGCTACTAACTGCGTCGTGAGCAGTAAACAGATTCCATCTCGGCCTCTCATGACGTATAAGTATTTCAGCTCCCAACCTCCAGCCAGGAGATTCCTGGACTGCCCTACATATAACTATAGAGGTTATGAAACAGCATTTGTCATCCCTCTACGTATGGCAAGTAGTCCATTTCTGGTAGTTAAGAGCAAAGTTTTTGTTCTATTCATTGTATTTAAACGTGCAAATCCCTAGCCCCACCTCAACAGACCTCGGCAGCTAAGCAGCCCTGGATTGTGTTTGGATGGGAGACCACCAAGGCAGTCCAGGATTGCTACGCAAAGGCAGGCAATGGTAAGCCACCTCTGAATGGCTCTTGGCTTGAAAATCTATGGGGTTGCCATCAATGTTCCCTCTAAGCTGTGGAGTCTTGTGAGCAAAAGTTCTCCTTGGTGAACTAATGGCATTAAAGTTGTGAGCGAATGATTTGACTACCACGTAAATTAAGTCTGCTCTGGAGCCATCCTTCCTGAGCTAAGACAAAAATATGTGAGCCGGAGGCTAAAAAACTGTGAGCTAGCTCACACTAACTCATCTTAGAGGGAACACTGGTTGCCATCAGTTGGCTGTGAGTTGATGGCACAGTCCACTACCACCACCAAATGTGCAAAACTGCTTTCCTTGTTTTGACCTACACTGTATTCACAGAGACGAGATGTATGAAGGGGTATTTATCGTTCAAAGATCTCCTCATGGATTACACAGTGGAGCATTTAGCACAGAATATTCTGTTTTAGGGAAAGCTTTGATTTAAAAACAAGTCGAGTGTTACATTTTTAAGTCTTCAATTGACTTCAAATGGTAGAAGCTTTATTGTAAAGTCAACAGACCTCTAAAGTACAATTGTTAAAACTGACCAGTAAGTATTTTAATTTTGATTAACTTTCCCTTCCTGAGTTTCTTCTCTGCAAGCATAGGGTTAGATCTTCAAGACACAGAGGCAGGACCTGCTAATCTCATGTCAGTCAATGGAGTTACTGGGTAGCAGCATCCAGTGGCTATGGCTAAGTGGATCATACTTCCTGCACTCACAATTCCTTTTCCCTCTACCACCAGCACAGTTGGAACTGTGATAATAACCATAACAGTGGCACCAGAAATAAGCCATACAAAAATTTTTATATTTTACTTTGATTATAGAATATTTTTTATTAAAGCGACAGTCACTCACGTCTCTTAGTGGCAGACAAATACTAAGATAAGCTTGCATTAATCGTTGTGCAGAACATGAGATGCTGAAACCAACATCTGGAGAAATGGAGGGGCGCTGAACCCATCACATACCTGCTTCTTTCCCTTCCCCCATTCAAAATGCTTTTCTTTCACCCAGGCTTAGACCAGAAATAAGCCTGAGAGGAGAAAGAATACCATGTGGGAAGAGGTTGTAAGGGGGAAAAATAGAGGACGCTATTTACGCACGCATCTTCCCTCTTTCACCTGTCTGTTGAAATTATCTCCTGGCTTTACAGCATTTTGGCACCCACCCACATGGTCTGTTATTGCAAAGCAATAGTTAAAAATGCTATACTAAATTGATTTTTTCCTAAATGCTTCAAAGAACCCTTCAGAAAAAAATTGAAAAAAGATGCCATTACAGTTACTGATAAGTTTTATTACATAAAAGTATTTACAGTACTGTTGTCTTTCCTATGGCTTAGTACTGAACTACATTCTCAATAAATAAGTACACAGATAATGTACACCATTTACAACTTCAGTTTGTTATTTAGAATAATGTCAGTGCAGCGTATGACAAGTCTAATGTGCAAAATAGAATTTGAAAACTGTATTTTAAAAAGATTAGCAACGCCATTGCTAAACAAACTGCATTCTAAACTAAAACTAACATCATTACTTCCACTACAAATAAATATAAATATCATGTAAAAATCATTGATAAAAAAACCTACCAAGAAAAGGGGCAAAATGAATACTGTTATTTTAGAGGTATTAAAACCATCAGCAATCTTTCTTTACATGCGCTGGGTGGAAAAATGACAAGCTTCCAAATAGGGCTTTCAAGTACGGCTGTCCCCCGCTCCCCTAATTCATCTCACTTATCCACATGCAGACACTGTTCAGAAATCTCAGGGGGTAACACAAGAGGCAAAGAGTCTTCATTCAAAGACACCAGTAAATGCAGCTTGTCCAGGCAATCCTGTAAAATCTCTTCTGAATAGTCACTTAAGTGCAGGTCCAGGGGTCTCTGGTGGTGTAACATCTGGTCAGCCAGCCCCAAGCAGCAAACAGCTAGCAAAGAAGGCATGTATTTGTTAAAAGCGTAGTCAGCCAGGCTGAGTTCAGCTACACCTTTGGCCAGGGCTTTGGCGTTGTTGGCTTCCCAAGCATCAGCCTCACAAGCCTCCATCCGCACATACGTGAAATATTCCAAGAAGAAGTTGATAGTGGGGGCTGCCAAGTTGAAGCGCAGCTTGTTCAGGATGATGCACTCCAGGTTACAGAGCTGCTGGTGGGAGAAAGTGTCACAACAAAGAGCCAAGAGCTGTTTCACCTTTGGTGGGTGCACTTCTACCTGAAAGAAACACAGGTACAGAAAACAAGGCACATTATAAACACAAGATGTGTGTGGAAAGCATTACCAGGATATATTTCCAAAGGTTTTGCAAGACCCAAAGGGTACTGTAGATACACAAATGCATGACAGCTGGTTGTTACACTCCTAAAGGTAACATACTTTTCAGGACGTAATTACCCATTATGTTGTTCCCTGGGTCTTCCATGGTCTACGTGATCGAAAGGTGCTTATCCTTGGAACTCAGTTCCTAGGTGCACAGGGTCCATAGCAGATTAGGGCCACGGCATGTGAGGGTAGGACAGAGGACATCAGCTTTCCCCCACACTGTTCTCTCAACTTGAAACATCCCAGGAAAGTGCTGTTTGCCCCACCAGGGTCCCCCATGATATGCAAATAGCAATTCTCAGGAAAACTGGAGAAGTGAGCTTAATCCCCTTCTCCTTGCATGTCATGCTCCAGTCTGAATTCAGGCCAATGCACCTCAGGATTGAGTTCCCAATGGGAAGCAAGCACACTGACTGACTGCCCTGCTGGTCTACAACAAAAGAGCTAGATTTGAGTCCATGAGCACCTCAGAGACCAAGATTTTCAGAAGTGCAAGCTTTCAGGAGTCAAAGCGCCTTTCACCAGATCTGATGAAGGGAGCTTTGACTCTCAAAAGCTTATACCCTGAAAATCTTATTGGTCCCTAAGGTGCTAATGCACTCAGATCTGCCAAGGACTGTGTATGCTGCTCTCCTCACCATCTGTAATCCAATAAACACAATTTACAATCCTGCCAAATTAAAGATCAGGAAAAGACCTAAGATTTTGATCCAAGCTTCTGACACATTATTTATATTCTCCTTTATAAAAAACAAATCAGTTACTAATGCCTTGACTAGTCTAAGAGTCAGAACAGAGAGTAGAGAGATGACCTGAAGAGTCATCAGGCAAAAGACTGCATACTTTATTGGAGAGCAAATTATTACAATCTTGTATTAGAGCAAAATATTACAATCTTGATGAACCAGAACTCCTGGTTAGTTTTTGGCCATTCCCAGCCATCATGGTTCAGAGCACTGCCTCCTAGAGACCGCATGGTGTAGTGGTTAAGTGGTGGACTCCAACCTGGAGAACAGGGTTTGGTTCCCCACTCCTCCACATGAAGCCTTGGGCCAGTCACAGTTCTCTCAGCCCCACCTACCTCACAAGGTGCCTGTTGTGGGGAAAGGAACGGAATGTGATTGTAAGCTGCTTTGAGACTCCTTAAGACAGAGAAAAGAGGAGTATAAAAACCTACTCTTCTTCCTTTCTAAACTTTAAGCTGATTTTAAGGAAATGCTCTTCTAGGTGGGCATGCTCTCTCTCTAGTAGCAAATGCAGATTTTACCACCTTAACAGTGGAAATGTTCTGGTACCTGTTTGCAAGCAATGAAGAGGGTGGTGACCCCTAGGAGTTGGAAACAGTCAGCAGCCACTGGGGTTGTGGTGAGAAAGCGGTCTAGAGTGTTTACAGCCAGGCATAAGGATTCAAAAGAAAAGCCAAAATGTTTATGCACTGGTATTAGCCAGCTGATCAGTTTGCACCGGGCTTCTGCAGTTACCTGGGAAGCAGGGGAAACAAGAGGTTAGGAAGCAAAAGAGGCTTTAACAAAACCTGGAGGCAGCCATTTCCAGCATTAATATGCATAAAAAACTCTGATGTACTGTCTTTCTTACTCCTGATGATTTCACTGTTAAAAAGGAGGAATTTAATTCTGCACATCCATTCCTTCTGCAGGCCCACTTCTGTCTCAGTGTCTTCTCCTCCCAAGGGACACTGGTGAGACTTCAGTCTGTGGGAGAAGACACTGCATCTCCACATTCTGGGTTAGATGAAAGCAGTCTGTTCCGAGCAGTTTGAACGAAAAGCTGAATTTACAACACCAGTCAGATATGAGCAAAACTGTGTCCTACCGACCTGAATGTTAACCGTGCTGAATTACAACCTGAATTTATGCTGCTATTGAATACTGACACCATCCAATTCTACTTTGTGTGTGTATAGATCTATATATTTTGCTGTCATGTTGCAGCTACCTTATGGTGACTCCAACAGGATTTCAAAGGCAAGAGGTGTTCAGAGGTGGTTTGCCATTGCCTGTTTCTGTGTAACAGTCCTGGATTTCTTTATTGGTATCCCAGCCAAGTACTAACCAGGGTTGACCTTGCTCAGTGTCAGAGATCAGGCTAGCCTGGGCTATCCAGGTCAGGGCACTTGGTGTGTATCAGATCCTAATTCTATGTAGGCCATTCCATGTACATCTCTACCAGAGTGTGAAAGTAATTCAAAAGTTTGTTTTGCTACACCAGCTGCCAAATGGGTACATGCAGCAAAACACATATAGAAATTTCATGCATGTTTTTTAAAAATTCTTTCTTCCTCCATGTAGAAAGTGGATTCACTGGGGGAAAATCTGTTACCTGAATCTATCCCTTGTGTAAAAACTGTACGATCACCCCACAGAGTGATTAAGTCTTTCTTTGGGCAAAAATGCTGAAGTTCCTTCAAATCAGATAATTACAAAGACAGTCTAACCACAAAATCCACATTGTTCATCAACTGTTTCCACTGTCCAATTTCAGGAAGCAAGCGAGACTGTCTAGTAACCTATGAACAATGAGTATGTAGCTTTGTAAAATGTTTTCTATGCATTCTTTTAAGACATTCAGAGGAAAGCAACATGCTGGAGGTGGAAAGACATAAAACATAATATGACAGATGTGTATGATGTGATACAAATATAAAGCAGACAAATTATGACAGCGCAGCAGAAGCATGCACAAAAGTACTCGTGTAATAAATGGCTGAAGAAGTCAGAAGGAATATCTGGATTTTAGCATCTACACATGATCAGATCATATGAACACGGGCTCTCTGTTGTCTGTAACAACTGTTCCATCCTAAACAGAGTCACACCATTCTAAACCCATTGACTTTACTGGATTTAGAAAGGGGATGCTCTTTTTGGAATTGCAATATTCATCCCCACACTCCTTTAGAGGCTTAGATCCCACCCATCACAGGGATTCAACATCACATGTCAGTGCCTGCTGCCTCAGGTTGCAGTCCTAAAGGCAATTTCCTGGGAATAAACTCCATTCCACACTGGATTAGGATTACTCCCTCAATCTCTGACCATAACTCCGAAATGTTCTTTGTGTCCTGGACGGAGCATCACTGTTATGAACACATTTTTAAAGTTGTTCTTCATTAAGGCTCATTACCTTTTCAAAGTCTCAGTTCTTCTTTTCCTGTTGCTCTGGATTTGTCTGTAACTGCATAACATCTCTAAAATGGACACAGTCCCACCCTAAAGAACTCAGGGCTGTCATACTTTATTTATGACATGTCCTTACCCAGAACACCAATGAAAACTGCATGTGTATCATGTTACATAACAATCACACACAGACATTTGTGTGTGGATGCACTGAGAAGCAATGGCCAACCACAGCTTCCCCAGTATATGTACACACAGTAAAACACATGCATTTTTAATTGTCACATGAAAGCATACATGTGGATTCATGCACATGTTCCCCATGCAAATATATATAGTGAAGAAAATAGGAGAAAGAATAAAGAAGTTGGTGAAATCTTTTACATGGAGGTTTTCCTGTTGCTTGGGTACTGCACTGCAGCCGTTTTTCTCCAAGCTTCATCATAACATCTTTGCCCATCCGTTGTCTTTCTGTGGTTTTCTTCATTGTTTCTCCGTGCTCTCTCAAAAACACCTTTGATCAGATTTTGACAAAGAATGGAAGGACAATAAGGAAACCACAGAAAGACAACAGATAGACCATAAAGTTGTGAGGAAGCTCAGGAAAAATACTGCTCTAGTTTGGCATCTTAACTGCAGACGAACTCTGTGTGAATGACCCCACAGAAAATAAGAATAAAAAACTACATGAGTCAGCTGTTGACTTTTTGAAGTAAACAAATTCCACAGGGTTAACCATGTCAGTCTGCTACTGAAACACAAAAAAAGCCCTATGGCACCTGAAAGACTAACATATTACCTGCAGCATAAAGTTTTAAGAGCTACAAGCCTAAGAAAGATTATTCTATAATAAATGTAGTACCTTTATGATAACTCCAGATGAGCATCTGTCTGCTGCAGTGAAATAAAGTCCAAATCCAGTGGCATCTTAAAAGTCTAACCACATCTATTCTGGCATAAATTTTGTGAGTTAGAGCTCACTTCAGCAGATGTGCAGAATGCATATTCCTTAGGTTGATGCTTACATATTTTTACCGGAGCCTTTCAGACAGCAATGCTTTCTACATCTCTTCCCCACACCCCCTTCTATTGTGAACATAAAAGCATCAGTCCAATAACTTGATGAAGTGACGCTCTGACTCAAGAACGCTTATCCTGGGTTACATTTTCTAGAGCTTAATAAGGCGCCACTGGAGTCCCGTAAGAAACATATTAAAAGTGCCTCAGAACTGGGGATTTCTTTTAACTTTTTGCTCCAAAACCTGTAAACAATACGATTTCATTTTTCTTTAAAGCCCCTTCTAGAAGTCTCTTGGCTTCCAGGGCAGCTTTCTGACCCCTCCCCCCCCCCCGCGCCTCCCCTTACTTGTGGCTGCCGGGCCAGCGGGTCTAGCGGGTGGAACTTCCCCTCCCTCTCCTTTCGGAAGCGGTACCAGCTCTGCCCGTAGTCGCGGAAGACCCGCAGCTCCAGCGGGTGCATAGGCTGGCATCCGCCAGAGGAGCTCAGCCGGCCGGCGACCCGCCCCACCGGGGGGGCCTTGCTCTTCTTGACCGGCGCGCGGAGCTGGAGGCCGGGCTCGGCGCTGCCCTGGGGCTCAGCCCGCTCCTCGGGGGTCACGTCCTCGGCCCGCTGCCGCTTGGCCGGCGTTCTCCGCCGCCTGCCCACCGCCGACGGGCGCCCCTCAGCAGGGCTGGTGGTCACCATGTTAACTCCTCGGCGCGCAGACGCTGCCTCCCGGGCAGCGGCGGCAGCAGCAGCGCCA